GCCACTTTGTTTTTTTTTTTTTTTTTTTTGGGGGGGGGGGGGGGGGGGGGGCGTAGGAAGAGCACAGATTTTATTTGATACGCCAACAAAAAGTATTGAACGACTGTGGAAGCTAAAGAAAACGAGACATGGCTCCCCGAATAAGAAACGAAAAAGAGGGCGACTGAATACAAATGCCTGCCGCACTTTTTAGGATTTTTAAGGTTAAAATGATTTATAAACCGATGTGTTGGTATTTCAGATAAAAATCAAGCGAAACATTAAAATTTTTGATAATACAGGGACAAACTAAAATCGAAAGAAAACTTTGCATCGGACACATATTACAACACAAGTGTCTGCTCTAACCTAACATCTTAGGCTTTGCTCTTGAGCAACCTCCACATCCATCAGATCACTTCCTGTTAGCGCTGGGGCGATAATGGAGCGGTCAAAGCACGCAGCGAAGCAGCCACGAGAGTCATTACAGCAGAGAACGTGGCCTCTGTCTCACAATTATTAGCAACAAAATTACTTTAAGGTGTCAACTGAGCAGCTCGACATTCCTCACACGCAGATAAATCAATTTCTCTCTGAGCAGGCAGCTGCTAATGACAAGAAATGCATTTGCGTGTCCTAAGCCCCCCTCCCCCCCAAACCCCCGCCGTTCGCTCACCACCGCACTCCATTATCACTGCCTCCTCCGTACATCCACGTTCAGTGGGATGACTTAATTGGATTTGAACGAGCTGCCGTTTGTGTGAAAACAACACATCAATTCAGCGGAGGATGATTTGTGGGAGCCGCTGCAACATCGGCAGAAAACTGACGCGCTAATCCTCCGCTTTGTTCAGACGGATACAGTAGGGATGCCGTTTGCAATTTGTTTAGGGGGTTTGGTAGATGAAGATGTCACCTTGAAGATGGTGGCACTGTGGGGCAGAGGTGGGGCCGGTCGGGTCGGAGAAGACGGGTGATGCTTTGGAGCCGACGGTCCGTTGACTGGAGCGCTTTCTGATCTGCCGCACGAACAGGAAAATAAAGAGCCTGTTTTATCAATCCGACTTCACTTTACAGAATACAGTGGAAGCAAATATTCTCTTCAGGGTTTCTATATACATTTTGGAGGGAAGGATTGAAGGAAGAAAGGAAGAAAAGAAGCAATGAAAGAAGTAAAAAAGAGAGAAAGATAGGACAGAAAGAAGGAAAGGAAAGAGAAAGAAAGAAAGAAAGAAAGTGGAGGAAAGAAGCAATGGGGCAAAGTATAGAGCATACCAAAAAGGAAGCTAGAAAAAAGAAGGAAGGTAAGATCAAAAGAAAGAAGGAAAAAGGAGAATGAAAGACAAAAGGAATGAAGAAACAAAGGAAGGAAGTAAGGATGGATGGATGTTTAGACAGTAGCAAAGGAAAACATTTTTCTGAAACTTATCCAGACCTGGGAAAATACTTAAACCATATTCCATACTTTTCCAGACTGCCCTGGAAGCCTGGATATCAGTTTGGAAAACATTCCAACTCTTACTTTTAAACGTTTTAGACAACGCGTCGATAAATGACTGAATTATAACCTGAGCTTCTCCATTTGATCCTTCTTGCTGGCGAACAGGAGGCCAATCAGGGTTTTCCGCTTGACGCAGACGATCAGAGCTGCCACCAGCACGGTGAGGAGAGCCACCAGGATACCCACAGCCAGATTCCTGCTGTCTGCTCATAAAAACAAACATATGGAAGTAACAGGAACTTAAACAAGTCAAGCTGATATTTCAGCAGCTTCGACTGTCGGTGTTTTTTGCTGTGGGCGTATTTTCTGCAGACAATGTAGGATCTGGGATCTTTTAAAACTTTTTTTTAACTGTTTTTTTTAACAATGCTCCCTTTTTGTTTTCTTTTTTTTCCATTTTCAAGCACATAGTAACAAAAAGGTGCCATGATCTCATTAAAAAAAAAAAAAAAAAGCAACCAATGTCCAAAGCAAAACTTTCAAGATTTCTGAAGCCTGAAGAACTGTTGCTCAAGACCAATTTAAAAGCTACAAGAACGTCTAGCTGCCTGGAAGCAAAATGTAAAGAAGTACGAGATGCACTGAGAAACAGACAGGTGAGAGGCCAGTCAGCATCTCCAAAAAAAAAAATCTGATCTTCTTCCATAACCTCTAGCACGTTGTAAAGACAACATTCTTCTGAAGGTGCAGGAGGCGTCCTCCGGTTGAAAGTGAATGCTTCCCTTCACCTACAAATGAGTATAAACTGGAGCAGTTTTACTGTTGCAGATGGTTCAGTGTTTATTACTGAGATCGTGCCTAACCAGTCTGTTCCAAACAGATACGGTCCAGGACTTTATAAGAGCACAAGATGTAGATTTTACCCGTCAGCCTGATGGGGCCGCTGTCCACACTTCCTCCAAAACCTGCCTTGTCACAGAAGGGAGGAGACCAGTGAGCCTCACAGTGACAGTTTTTGTTGCTATTGCACACCTGCAGAGCATGAAAAACACATTTGGAGATTAGGTTTTAAAGGTGTGGTTTCGACAATATGACATTAGCTACAAAGCTACGTCTTATAAACGACGAAAGAGAAGAAATCCGCTGATCAGGGTTTGGCTGGTAAAAACGATTTTCTGGTTTTCTTTGATGTCTGACTTGACTGTTCTTTTTTCTTTTTATTGTTTTAAAGGACACCAGCACAAAAAAAAGAGAAAAATAAATACATATGTGCTGATACTGTTATAAAGGTAGTAGTTTTAAATCCTTCAGAACACAAAAGATTAACAGAATTATTACCATTATTCTTAAAGTGCATCTTGGTTGATATTTGTTATACTTAAATTTTGTTGTAAAAGAAAGAAAACATAATTTTTCAGCATTCAAAGCGCTGATCAGAGCTGATCGAAGGGATACTGACTAATTCCAATCTCTGGGGGACTTATTTGTGCAATTCTACCAACCTATGAAATTTATAAAATCGGCTGCAAACGTCACTTAGATCTTTCGGAGCGCTGCTGATTTTGACTCATGAAGGCTGCTACCTAATTTAAATGATAAATACGAAATAAATTGCGGCAAAATAAAAATCTGTTTTGCATCTGAAACGAGGTCGCCTGGCTAGAAATGTCACATCGGTGGAATTTATGCTTAAAACCCTTCAGAAACTTTGTTTACAAAAGCTGAATTCAAAAAAAAAAAAAAAAACGTATTTTCTAGTTGTTCCCACTCAGGTGCACTTTGTGGTGCCTTGAGCAAATCAAATCAAGGCGAGTTGGTACGAGAAACAAAGCGCAGCATTTCTCTGACACCACATTTGTACAGTCTCACCCTCTTATCTTCCCCCGTCCTGCTCAGTGCAGGAGGGAGAATCTCCAGAAGGATTCCCTGCCTGGGTAATCTGAAACAGGTGAGGTATTCTCTTTCCAGCAACATCTTGATCTAATCTCTGCATGCAGGGGTGCCCTCTCTCCTAGAGAAACCCACATCCTTTTGTTTCAGTATGTCAAACATTCCTTGAGGTTTTATGCGTCTTTACTGGAACTGCACAAACAAGTACGACCCCTGTAATAACTGGCGATGTTTCGTTTTAAGAGGCAATCAAAACCATTTGTCCTGGAGATGTAATGGAAGGGAATGAGCGCCGCAGTCACGGCCGAAGCCTCTGGGAGCTGTTGAGAGACTTTATCTTGTAGTACCTACTTTTTGAATCTCGCCACCTAATCTATCAGCCATCAGAGACTTTTCAGCATTGGGCCAAAAAAAAAAAAAAAAAAATTCCCCCAAGGGAAAAGACGAGGAACACAAACACATCAAGCAGCTCCTCAAACTGGTGGATACATTAACTGGACTTATGTTAGTTCATTCACGATTTTAAGAAAGCATTCAAACTCAGTCCACTGAAGGAGATTAGAAGAAAAGATGACAAGTGACATCCCATATGCTGAAGGGTTGTCTAAGAAACAAAGACGGGGTATTTCAGGTACATTTCAAGCCCCACAATTAACAGAAGTTCAGTATTCATTGGAATATGAGTATGTTATTTCTTTAATTGGAGAAACAAAAACGTTGCTCCACAAAAAAAGTATGGGCCAATCCAACAGATACGTTTGAGGACAGCAAAGAGGACATTTTGGACAGGGAGGATAAATAGTTTGAGGGAAGAGTGGAAGAAGCCATTTACGTTAAATTTGGAAAATCCAACACTGAGGAAGTGGCTTCAGATTCCACGTGTCGTTAATGGCTCTATTAAGAGAGACTGCTCCAACTAAAACGTAGAACGTTATTACTTCCAACCATGCTGAGAACTGAAGCCTTTTTTTTGGATAAAAAGGTGAAACGTTTTCTTGAAACAATTAGGAATCCAATTGGCTTCGACTTAAGCAGGTAGGAATGAACACTGCGAATGTGCACAACCTGCTCGCTTTGCGTTTGCTTACCACAAAAAAAATAAAAAATACCTTGAAATGTGAAAAAGCTCAAGAGGTATGAAACGAGTACGTTGCAAGAATGTCAAATTTGAGATCCAAAAAACCTGTGGCAAACCTGGCTTAAAGTTAAACTCGTGGAATTGTGCTCCAAATAAAAAAATCTGAAATGATTCAAAACGCAGTTTAGGACGAGAGTGACAGCCTGGGCGTATGATGAATGGCGCATAGAGCTGAACATAAATGAGATCATTACGCCTAACTGATTGAACCTTTCAGCATTTTAAGTGATTAATTGCCAAGCGTTGTGTTTGTTCCCTAATAAATACACAATGGGGTGCATTTTGAACACACTGCAGCTTAAGCTTCTTTGAGGAATAAATGGGGTATTAAACGGGTTTAGATCTGTTCGAAACGGCTTTTTGCAGCCGAACGAGGATGAGGAAGGTGCTGCACTTACCCCTCGGCCGCTGCACTTGGCTGCACACTCGTGCACACTAAAAACGCTGACGTTCTGGCACCGACGATTCAGACACATCTGAAGCAGACAAAGACATTAAATATTGACAGCGTGGGCTCAAACGGCAGAGCAGTTAAAAAAAAAAAAAAGAATCTAAATCTTTTAATCTCTTAAAGGGAAGAGGCACATCCAGCTCACCATTTCTTTTCATTTCCCCTCCACAGCTCTAAATCAGAACAGCATTAAATATAATTATGCTACCAGTGGAAATACATCATAGTTGATTGTCAAAGGCACCGCGCCCAAAGTTAACCGTCTAAAATGTGAGGATGAGCAGCAGCTGGCGCTGAGAGAAATGGCAGAAGAAGGCCGAGGCCCTTTTAAAAAAAATAAAATAAAATAACAAATGGGTAGAGGTTTACAGTGAAGTAAATTAGACTAAATGGAGCAACTGAATCAGTGAAGTGACCACTGGCTGAATTGATGACCACTGGGAGAAGCCAAATCGAGTGAATAATGGGTCATCAATTAAGTGTGTGAGCTTAAGCAAGTCCAACATGACAATAAAGTACACCCTGAAAAATGTCTAATACATTAAGTCATGGCCTTTGGCTCATCATTCATTATTCCACTGCTATTCCCAGCATGTAGCATTGTTTGTGTAAAAACAATTATGTTTTGTTTTTACACAAATAATTTTGAGTTACAGATACAATGTGAAGAAATAATCTTTATTTAAGAGTCTTGGATAATAAAAAATATATATATATACATTTGTTCATTAATCTTTGGAAACTTAACATCTTCAGAAAGACACATCAGCACTTATCCTAAAGCTTGTACATGTTAGTAGAAAAATTAACATCGTCATTGAAATGTCCTCATATTGCTTACTTCAGCTTAGTTTAGTTCAAAGAAATCTCTGGACAATGACAATCTAACCCAATGTGACTCCAAGGAGAGTATAGAAAACCTCAGGGGAGGCACCAACCTTGAACAGAAGCTGCCTATATGTTTTGTAAATGTGCGAAAAAATAAAATGAAACAAAAATCAGAGAGAAATTTAAATTGCAGAAAACTCAGGCACTGATTTTCAACATACTTTGGGGAAGAAATACATTTAATTTGACCAACATTTACACCAAAAGTGAATGGAAGAAAGTATTGTTAAACTTCTGCCTCAGCTTTGATAAAACTGAGCCAGGAATGGGAGGAATCTTTTTTTTTTTTTCTGTAATACATTTTGTCTGACACATTAGACTTTCCAATTTATTTATTTTTATCCTTTCAGTTAAATTGCATCCACTCGCTTCTTATTACCAATTGGGTCAGAAGTTTTTGTTCTCAAAATGACTGGATGAACTGCCTTAAATTCCACCATCATGTACTTCAGAGTGGCATGCGTATCTTAGCAGACTGCTGGATGTGATGTGATACGAACTCACCATTCCGTCTCCGCACTTGGTCCCCGTCAGGACCAGGCCTGGATCAGGCATGTCATCACCCAAGTAGACGTGAGTACCTCGGCACAATATCCTTCCACCTTCCTGCAGGGGTATATTCGTTTCGATGGAAACGGCGTTGGTGCCGATAACCGGGCGGTTTGCTCCACCTTGACACTGGATTTTTCCACATTTTGCATCTCTGCATGCACGGCAATCAAAACACAGAAAAAAAAAAAATAGTCAAGAAACGGAAACAAATGTCTTTGTCTATCCCAGTTTAAATTCATGAGAGTTTTTTGTTCTCTTTCTGCTATGGCTAGTCAAGTAAAAACTTTGTTGTTGTTTTTTTTGCATTTTCTTCAAATGGGATGTATTTTATCATGAATTTATGTGACACATCAGAGCAAAGTAGTGCATAAACCTGAAGTAGAAGGAACATTTCAAATGATTTTCTAAATCTTTTACAAACAAAAATCTAAAAAGCATGACGTGCATTTGGATTAATCCGCCTGAGTCAATGACCTGCAGTAGTGTCACATGCATATTTTCTTGCTCTAAAACTATTTGAATGTTATTTTTTTAAATAAAACTATAATACATTTAGATATGTTCCTTTAAACGTCGTTAATGAGTCTCTGCACAGTTTAGTCAATTACCACTCATAAGAGCCTGATTACATAGTTTTAATTTGACTATAATTTTTATTTGAATAAAAGTAAATATTACAAATTTTGTTTTGCTATAATTTTTTGAATGATATAAATATAATATAAAATGTATTAGAATATTTGAAAGTATAAAAAGCTTGGGGCATAACACAGAGCCTTGCAGTCCAGAGCCTGTTATTCCAATCCCACCCAAAATGTAATAAATCCAATAACATGCCTCCATTACCATATCCACCAAATGGTTTCATCAGCAATCCGTGCTCAGTAGTGTCAAATGGTTGCAAAAAAACAAAAACAAAACAACAACAGTTCCACTGCAAAGGCGCGATTACCGATTGCCTTTAGGATATTTTTAACATGTTACTGCCATTGAGGTGGAGCTGGTAGTGTTAAATTCACACCATCAGTCAAAGAAAAAAAAAAACAAACAAACAAGCTGCTTTTTTGTTTTCTAAAATCACCAATGTTTCACTAGAAGAGCCTTTCTAAGAAGTTGGAAAACTGAGAAATAAAGATATTGAGATGTTTGTGTTTAGCGAACGTTTGATTCGATTCTAAACTGCGATATTCAAGAAAATCCGTTTCCCCCGTGTGTAGAGCAAATTATTTGGTGCAGTGTTAGATCATTCTGAATATCAAAACTAAAGGTCTGCTTTGATTTCTACAGGAACATCATCTCTCACCGTGCTTCACATTTTGCAAAGGAGCCCTTTGAATCCTTGCCACAGTTGCCATAAGGGTCCCCTGCTGAGTTGACCCTTTCAAAGCAGATCCCTGGAGCTGGCTTGGCTCCTGACAGACACAATAAAAAAAATAAAAAAAACCCTTTGAGAGCTCGTATCAATTTTTGAGCTTTTAAGAGTCAAACCGGGCCAGTAAGGAGGCCTTCCAGCGTCCTACGCACACATACCTTGGCCCCACAGAGTGATACACTGCTGCTCGTGGGTCTGGCAAATGCCGTTGTAACAGTAGCCGTCAACGTTGAGGCAGGAGTGGCCGTCGTGCAGGTAGACGTTGGCAGGGCAGTGGGGACTGCCGCCTGTGCAGAACTCGGGCAGATCGCAGGAGTTACTGGGTTCACGGCACGGCGTTCCTGCCGGCTTCAGCTGCACTCGGAGGTAGAAAACAAGCGAGACAAAGACGCACAGCTCAAACAAAGCAACGAGCGTCTGAGTATGAGCAACTACATTTCATTAAATATATTCGGTTTTATGTCGTTTTACAGAATGCCGTTTGTCAGAAACACAAATTACCTGACAGTCCTGGCAACAGTGCCCATGTGCGCAGACAGCATCGCCTTTCAGAGTGCAGGTAGTAGCGTTGCAGCAGGGATTCATGCATTCCTTTAAACCAAATGAAACATGATGAAAAATTAGGGAAACGCAGTTAAGTATTGATGCGGTAATAAAAATGAAACGGGCGGAGAACAGGAAACAGCAATATCTGGTTTAATACCTCAGTCTTTACCTCCTACTACTTTTAATGTCTTTTACAAGAGGAAAAAAAAAATCAAAATCAACCGTAGAAAGTCCATCAAAACATAAAAGAATGATATATCATTCACTAGAGCAACACTGATGTTAAATAAATGATTAATGATGAGATTCAAGAACATTTCTTTACAATTCATCCTCTATGCAGGTGGTGCAACAGTCGCGCTCGAGACGTGAAGGAGTTCTTCAAGCTGCAGCATATTTTCCACAGATAGCATTTTTTTTTTTAAATGCCCTGCTTGCACGTGAAACACGCAGCAGTTCATTTATTTTTGACAGAAGATATAATTGGTAAAGATAACACATGAACACATTCCTTTCTGCGGTGCAAAGAGAGATAGAGCATATCTGTATCGTACCCCCTGTCATGTAACATCTTCCAATGTTCTGAGGAGGAACATCTGTTCCAAGATGGATGATGTTGTGACCCGTACGCCGGAGCAATCAGCAACTCGCCGTCTCCCAATGCCTTAATTACTGCAAAACTACCCATGCTCCTTAAACGTTTTTTTTTTTTTTTTTTTTTTACATTTTGTCTCATTAAAACCTCAAACTTGTGTGTTAATTAATAGGAGTTTATGTGGCAGATAAAGGAGCTGAAGTGGAGGAAAAATTGGGCACGGTTTTAGATTTATTTTTTTTAACCAAATAAAAATCTGAAAATTGTGGCGTCCATATTTGTATTAAACACTCTTACAATAAAAATACTCCTACCTGGATTTTAATGGCTAAACAAGTGGCCTTCTTACAAACTTGAATGTACAAATTTATGGATTGGGTTGAACGATGTAAAATTTATAATGAGCCTGAGTAGGAATAATTTTGAGCGTAATTGCATGATCTCACACAGAAGCATATTGACTAGACCCCCCCCCCCCCCCC